AATAGATATACATAGGTTATATATGAATATATACATACATACGCATAAATATATATATATATATATATATATAATATATATATATGTGTGTGGTGGTGTGTGTGTGTGCTGTGTGTGTGTGTGTGTGTGTGTGTGTGTGTGTGTGTGTGTGTGTGTGTGTGTGTGTGTGTGTGTGTGTGTTTGTGTGTGTGTGTGTGAGGGTGGGGTGGTTGTTTTGTGTTGTTGTTGTGTGTGTGTAACATAATTAATTATGAATTAAATGCTTTTTGATAGACTGTACAGTAAAATAAACGTCTAAGATTTGTCTAATTAAGGGAAATCTCTTGTTTGGATTAGAATTGATAAACGCAATAAATAGCCTATGATAAAATATTTGTATTATATAGCCTCAAACAAACTGCTAACCGTCCCTTCGGTCTTATTGTGCAAAATGGAAACAGGAAGTGAATCACACCAATACCTTCAGCGCCCTCTCTCCAGTGCCCCCCCCCCCCCCACCACCACCACCACCCACCACTCACTCGCGTTGAGGTGGTCTTCCAAATTGACGGTTTACCTGGCGGAGGCCATGTGGGTTCTAGGGTTTGTTATGGATGGCAGCTAAATAGATTATTTGACTCCATAACGCACGACACTGGGCCGCAGCATGTTTAATTGCTTGCAGTTAAACTCTCTTCTTGTAGCCTTACTTTTCTGTCTCCATTTTTCGGCATTAGGGTAGCTCGTCAAGCTGTACAATGTGTACAGTAGACCAGCGTGCACGAGCTTAGATATCAACCAGGTCTGCAGCATAAGATCGAGTGATCATAAGGGGAGATTTCAATGCATACCTCCACATCTTGGACCCCCACATGAGACCAAATGCGGTAGGTCTTCACATAGCCGACATACTCGAGACATTCCTCGAGATCGCTCTTCTCAACGCCCAAAGTAATGCATGTGAGGGGAGGGGTCCTTGACCTCACCGTCACCACTGCAACAATGATGGAAAGAATCAGGCGGTGTGTCGATGAAACGATTGAAAGTGATCACTATGGCACCGTCTATAGCATACCATAACCATGCTTATATTTGCTATAACTCCAAACCACATGGTCACATGCTAGAAGTCGTGGTTCCACGTGATCAATAGTGGACACTGCTTGACTGCCTGCTTCTGCATATAATCAAGCCAGCCTGGGTCGCTACTGGCCACATGAGGTCATCGGCGGTTTGACCCCTCTCACTCAGACTCACACCCTCTCCGAGAGCGACCCAGCTTCTCCGCTATTGCCCACAGCCGCCCCTCGTCAGGGCTCACTGGCTGCGGGGACCAACCAGCGCTGAGCAGTCCCGCTCGTATCGTGTTCTATTTCTACTTGTGTGTAACTCTTAGCAACTAAGAATGAAACCGTTTACGTAATATTACTCTGCCCCACCAGCGTCAATTATAGGTTACCACCTTTTCTACCATCACCACCCTCTTGGATGCTGGTCCAGCCCAAAAACCACAGCACAATCCTAGATGGAAAACAGACAAGGCCAAATGGCAAGCCTCCCAGAATAACTTGGCCCGCTGTCTTAGAAACAATGACCCCCACACAGTGAAAACGTGGTTATGCTCGAGGCCAGACTTGTTGATGCCATAAATCAGGCAACCTCTTTGACCATCCCTAAAACTCGACCATGGTCCAGGGATCGCAAAGACGCCTGGTACTATAATGAGACAAAGGAAGTCAACCACAACCAAAGTGAACTTTTCCGAGGGCAAAGAACTCCTGACAACTTAGCCCTACTAAGGTAAGCTGCCAGGGATGCCAAGGAAACTGCCAACAGAGTCAGGCAGGAAAAGTGGTTGGAATGGTGCGAGTCCTTTGCTTACCAGACCACCCTTACAGAGCCGTGGAATCGGGTCAGGCGAGTTACCATCCGCTTAGCCCTGAGATGCACGCATCACGACCCCCAATCAGAGGCAGACAGACTGGTGCAGGAGTTCTCGAGAACAAGCAGCAACAGCCCGCCTCCTGATTTGAGGGCAAACCAACAACGCCCACAACCATACAGGCTTGTTCTCATCAGAGACAAGACCGCCGAATCTGATACCTCGAATGCCCTATTCTCTTTAAGGGAACTAAGAAAAACATACAAAACTAGTTCTGGCTCTGTACCGGGCTCTGATGGGATCTCCTACCCCATTATCTCCCACATAGGACAGGCAGGTGAGCTTACATTCCTGCAATGCATTAACAAGTTCTTTTCCTAGAGATAGAAAAGAGCTGACACAGTTCCCATCCCAAAACCAAAGGAACCAAGAACGTACCGCCCCATCTCTCTCCTCATTTGTCTGGGCAAGACAGCCGAGAGGATGGTACTAAACCTGCTCTGATAGAAACTGGGACCCCCGCACAAATATCATGGGCATGGGCACAGCAAACAGCATAGCTACGCTCTTAAGTACAATCTGCACTCTTCCATTTGTGGTAGTATATCTAAATCTGGAGAAGGCCTTTGAACTAGCAAGGCCTCTTGCTATTCAGGAGACCCTCATCCTCATAAGGGAAACAGGTAAACTCTTGGCTTGGATAGGTGACTATTAAAGGAACAGAATAGCCAGTCAGATTTGAAGGTTCCCTATCACAGCACATTGTACTAGAAAATGGAACGCCACAGGGTGGGATTTTCGGTCCGGCCCTTTTCACCAGCCTTATGTAGTGCATCCTCACGCTCTTAGGCAGGCAATCTTGCAAGATCTCCACTGGTCATCACGGGCTGAGAAGAGCCCAGTGTTATCTGGACTATGTTTCTAAGGAGCATTTCAGGACAGGTCTAAAGATTTCTGCAGCAAAATCCAAAACCATGAATGTAAGACAATGTAAAACTAAGTGTCCAGGGGATGGATCTAGAATGGGCCAAAGTCTTCCAATACTTGGGGTACTAGTCGACTGCACACTCATTCAGAAGGGAGATCCAGTACCTGATTGACCGACCAAAGGCAAGATTTTTTGTACATGCTGTCTGTCCAATTGTGGACTATGTTTCTGTTACCCTCATTGTTAGAAACAGTCCAAAATGAAACTGCCTGGATCATTTTGGGTTCCTCTATGTGGAGACCCAAATTGATCTAAAGGCAGCACAGCTCTTTTGTAAGGTCATCCAGGCACCCCAGAATACATACATGAGACAGAAAGTACTCAGATACTTACAAAATTATGAGCTCCTTGCAGAACACTTCTGGCTGACACACACAGCCAGGATGTTAATACACTATCAGCTCGAAGAACAACTGCCTGTTATGGGTATCGACTCCCCCCACCCTGAATATGTTGAGCCCAGCCCATGGGCACAGACCTTTCTTGAGTTTTCTATCAAGAGGCTGTCAAGGAATAAGATCCAATACTCTATGTCTAGCCTAAAGGCAGAAGCCCACAGGGTCATTACAGTCATCATTCCTCTGGATAGCAGAACCTACTTCATGAACAGATCCCTGGATCCCATAAGCAACACTGCAAGTACCAGCTTTGCAGCAAAGGATGCCACAGAATCCATGAGGGTGACAGACAACGCCTTCTTGCTCCAAGCAGAGACAGTTGGGATCATGGGAGCCTTAACCCATGTGTCCATTGGGGAAGGACATGTGGTCATATATACAGATTCTATAGCAGCCATTGACAGTCTACAGCACAGCATTTGCCATTCTCTGCTAGCTACACAGAGTAAAAGTCAGAACATTCCCCTCAGCCAGATGGTACTCAGACACCACAGGCTATGAGTTGCTGGCACTTCCTCAAACAATAAATAAAGGTGCTGAAGTCATACTGCACAGAATATGACTAGGTGATTGATGCTGCCGATGTAATGCAAAATTGCAGGAAGCTGAATGTTATCCTGAACTAAAGTGTTGAGGCCCATTGGCACATTTTAAGCCATAGTTTCAAATATGGCCACAATGTATCCTTAAAATGTACCAAAGAACTGTCTATTTCTTTTTTGCTTTGAGTGCTCTGTCTCTTGGAAGTTTGCTTTTAGTGACATAGGCATGGAACTAGTGGCTGGAAGCTACATTTTTACCCTTCGGTTTGTTCATCTCCACAGTTGGAGGACCTTGTTTTGATCGAGCGGGACAGAAAAGCCTAATAAGTACCAGTTCTTAAACATAGATGGAAGGAAAACTAAGTAGATAAAGTACTTTTATACTGCTGTGAGAAAGAATTCAGATGCTTGAGACAGAAGCACTAAGAATCTGATAGCCAAAAATATCTTTCCAAAAATCTTGTTTGCATTAGCTACTAAGTCTCTCAGCCACACAGAAATACTGTTATTACTATTATCTTACTATCAGCTCATTGTAATTTTCAAGATTTACTTATAAATTCATATAACTGGGGACCTCTAATAATGATTCCATCCATTTACTAAACCTACCTATATAATATATAATATCAAGAAAAAAAGAAACTATCTAAAGACAATCTTTTATTTCATAGAAAAGAAAGTAACAAAGTCTGTAACCACATAATAATGATGTATCACATATTCTCTCTAATTCTTTTTAAAAGATCAGTGATCCTTAATAAATAACCAACAACAGCACAAAAAATAAAATATATATTCAATATTACATACACATACATTACATACATACATATATATATATATATATATATATTATATATATATATATAATATATATATATATATATATATATATATATATATATATATATATATATATATATATATATATATTATATATTAGTTTGCTAGCTATTTCTCAACAACTTTACAACTGATTCATAAAGTAGTCATCCAACTTATAGATGTACTGTGTATTATTTTCCAGTTAAAGGAGAGGCATTCATCCTATGAAATTCTCTGACATTAATCCCTACTGATATGTGAAAAACATTTTTACCAGTCAGCCTTAATCATTACCATTTTCTTTACAAATCTTCGATATCTTGTTTTCTCTTCGTTGTATCATCAATCTGCAAAGATGGAGCATTTATTCGTATCATTTTCATTTATTAGAGTCTGTTCTGAAGTTTTTAAGTAGTACAGGTATTTTTGTCTGGATTGACATGCTAAAAATGGGGAAACCCTTAAGATCTTGAAATATAAATCTAAATATTCCAAAAAAAATTACAAAACATGTAACCAAAGAGTAGGATCTTATGAGAAATGTACCAAATGCTCACCTTCCTTCGCTTTGCTTCTGGATCAGTTGATTGTTCACGGGGACCGGCTTTCACATACAACACCATAACCTCCCGCCCACTGACTTTAAGGCCACCCTGTTCTCTAAATACCTTTTCTGCTTCCTCCTTTCTTTTGTACTTTATATAGGCATTACTGAAAAGGAGAAGAAATCATCAAGGTAATTTTTATTCCACTGATATATCACAAGATATCCTGCAACTATTGTTATTAGACACACACACACACACACACACACACACACACACACACACACACACACACAACACACACACACACACACACACACCACACACACACACACACACACACACACAAACACACACACACACCACACACACACAACACACACACACACACACACACGCACACACACACACACCACACAACATACACACACACACACACACACACACACACAACACACACACACACACACACACACACACACACACACACACACACACACACACATACACATACACACACACACACACATATATATGCAATGATATTTTTTTTCTAAGAATATAAATTTATATATCCATTAATTTCATGTGAATTAGCATAAGAAACTAACCCTTTTTTGAGAAACTTTTTGGTCTGGATAATTTGGGCTGTACTGAAGGTTGACCTCAGGTCTTCATATGTTGTGCCTGGAGGCAAACCATCTAGAAATAACCTGCAATTCATATTTTCACATTAAAACAGCAGTTCAATTAAACAACATGTATTCCCTACATAATCTTTCTTATGTGTCACAAAACTATAAAGCAATACATGAATACCAGTTACATTTTTCTTTTCTGTCATACCATGACAGGTGGCCACCTTATCACCTGCAAAAGTAGGGAATTAAATTTCATCCAAAGAGCTTTGGTATGAACTTACTCTTTAGGGTAAACACATACGACTTTAGAAGGAAAATAATTCTTAGACTTTTCTCCAACAAAGTCCACTTCACATCTTCCCCCAAGTATCTCCATTTCTTCTAATATAGGCTTCATTTTCTCTGCCTTTTCTTGGGATTCATACTCAATGTAACAATATCCATACCTGAAACAAAATATAATAAGCGAGGGCAAAATAGTATGTCACATTAATTTGTAAAAAAAGAGACAGGAAGTAAAGACACACAAAAAAAAAAAAAAATTATATATAGATTCTTGTGATGTAAACATTAATCACAGCCAGTCCAAACTAATAGAATATAATGACAAAAAACACGTACGTCTTGTGCTGTGGAAACCGTGTGGAAGCTGCATCATCAAACAAAGGATTTAGGATTGTGGCATTATTTATATCAACTGGTGAAGGTACTTTGACATACAGAGTGCGCTTATTCCTCTTTTCCACACGTTTCAAGTATTCCTCCAACAGGTCTCCCTCGAGAGTCATCTGTATTTGGAAAAGAAAAAGAGTATTTGCATCACCTAGTTCAAATAATATCCAATAATTTGAGGAAAAAAGGTTTTCTAAACACAAATCATCTTTCATTTTTTGTTCTCTTATTCATTAGTATTTTCCTTAGTTTTCTTAAATAGCAGCAAAATAAAGAAAATAAGCCTTAAAAAGAAAAGAACAAATTAATATAAGTATAAGAGAATATATTACAAAAAATTATATCATGCTTACATGATCTCTGGGGATCTTCAACATTTTCCTCTTGAGTGAAAGATTTTTTCCCATGACCTTGTTAACACTGTCTCTTTTACCCTTCTTCTGTTTTAGATTTGCTTTCTTCTCATGTTTGATTCCACCTTTGCTGGGAATGACTCCTCCTTGAGCAGACTTAGCTGCAACTGAAGCTGATATGGCATCTTCTTGGGTTGGCTTGGCTATAACCTTGGCAGGAATGGCTTCTCCCTGGATAGGAATAACTCCTCCCTTGACAAGAATGGCTCCTTTTTGAGTAGTGTCTCCTCCCTGGGTAGGAATGTCTCCTCCTTGGGCAGGAATGGCTCCTTCCTGGGTAGCAATGGCTGCTCCCTGGACAGAAGTGGCTCCTCTTTGGGCAAGAATGGCTCCTTTCTGGGTATCAATGGCTCCTCCTTGGGCAAGAATGGCTCCTTTCTGGGTATCAATGGCTCCTCCTTGGGCAAGAATGGCTCCTTTCTGGGTATCAATGGCTCCTCCTTGGGCAGGAATGGCTTCACTCTGGGTAGGGCCATATCCTCTCCTGGACAAATCCACTAGAGGACGTACCTTGCCAACTTTCTTTTTGCATTTCTTCTTATTGCGTTTAATCATACCACCAGGAACAGGTCCTCCCTGGACAAGAGTGGCTTCACTCTTGGCACCAATGGCTCCTCCTTGGGCAGGATTAGTTCCCCCTAGGGCAGTCATAGCTCCTTCATGGTTAAGAATAAGTCCTTTCTGGGCTGCAACTACCTCTCTCTGGACAGGAATGGGTCCCCCCTGGGCAGGAGTGACTTCACTTTGGGCAAGATTAGCTTTCCCTTGGGCAGGAATAGCTCCTCCATGGTCAAGAATGGCCCCTCCTAAGACTGGATTTACTTCTCTTTGGCCAGGAATGGCTCCTCCATGGGCTGAACAGGCAAGTTCCTTGACAAATGCTCCTCCACTGGTAGGCTTAATTCCTCCCTTGATAGGACTGATTCTATTCTTAGGCACCTGCACCAGAGGACGGAGTTTGCCAGCTTTCTTTTTGCATTTCTTCTTATTGCGTTTAATCTCATTCCCTTGAATGGGTCCTCCCTGGGAAAGAGAGGCTTCACACTTGACACCAATGGCTCCTCCTTGGGCAGAATTAGCTAGAATATCTCTTTCATTGTTAAAAATGGCTCCTTTCTGTGCTGGAGCTACCTCTCTCTGGACAGGAATGGCTCCTCCCTGGACAAGACGGGTTGCTCCCTGGGATGAAATGGCAAGTTCCTTGGTAAAGGCTCCTTCACTGGTAGGCTTAATTCCTCCCTTGACAGGACTGAATCTGTTCTTGGGCACCTGCACCAGAGGACGGAGCTTACCAGCTTTCTTTTTGCATTTCTTCTTCTTGGGTTTAACCAGGCTAATTTTCGTGCCACTTTCACCCTTAGTGTTCCTTTCACCTCCTTTTCCATTGCCTTCAGATGTAGAAGTCATTGCTCTTATTGATGGTTCTTAGCTCTCCATTCTTTATATCACTATGTTACCTGGGGAGAAACATAATACATTTTTATTTAATTTCTAAAAAATAAAGTTAAACTAACAATGTGTTACAATATGAATAACTACTTACAACAAAATGATACTACCTTAACAAGGAAGTGAAGTAAGTTAAGAAAAAAACAAACTTCATTTATAAAACAAAGTATAAAGACTTACATTAGAAAAAGTGATCTATATCCTTTACTTCATGAATAACAGTACCATACTTAGTATACCAGCTTAACAGACTTCAGTCATTATCTTTTCTATACAATATATCTTACTTTGCCTTTTTAGATACTGGATAGTCTACATTAAATGATTCTAAAGAGGTAATATGTAAAGAAACAATAACTGGGAAAGGAATCTGATATGATCTAGATATAACAAAAAAAAAAAAAGATAAATGGAATATGGATCCAAACAATATTTGTGTTATTACACATACAAGATCATTTACTTTACCCCAAGATATGGAAGATTTTTCAATATTATTCTCAGGTACAAAGACTGATATTAAGCTATTGTCTCCAAATATCTATTAAAGATGACTCATGTAAAACAGAAATAAATAAGACACAAAACTGCATAATTTTATCATATATACTTTATATAACCATGTCTAACTATATCTATATCAAATCATAAAAAAATACTCATATTAATGCCAATAGACAATTCATATATAAAGCTGCACAGCAAAAGAAGCCACTCCACACATTTTTTAAATAAGCTTAAGGATACTACAGCTTGAAAACAACCTAAATCATCATTTTTAGAAATATGAAAATAAGACACATGTCTACAAACCATGTGTCCTTATATGAATTTCTACTCATATACCTATGATTACACATCTACAAGACAACCATGTCTATTACTACTGGCATTCCATTCTAGAATCGAGGTTCTGTCTGTCAAAGATCTTTGGCTGACACCTCTTTCCAAATTTTGTACACAAGCTTATACATATCGTCATTAACCTCACTGGTGTATTTTTGTGTACAGGTATTCTGTTTTTGAAAATCTGACTTGGCATATATCAAATTTGGTCATGGGGTACATCTCTGGCAAACAAGAATCATCAGTTCCTGTCAGTATGGCTGGCATTCATACTCTCCCTTCATCTCATGCAATCTGGCAAAATAGAATTTGCAGGTCTTATTGAACTTGCAGAAATTATCTAATGATTCAACAAGTCCAACAAGTTCTATCTTACCCGAATGTACATGGGGAAGTTTGCTTATTTTGCTGAAGTACTGAAGGTGTGGAGGCCATGACAATAAGAAATGGACTTCAAGATTAGTCATCCTACACAGATTCCAATAATTTTCAAGTTTCACGTTGATTTTGCTGGAATACTGCCTATATAATTTTAAAGACTAGAACAAGTATCTTGTTATTGTATTCACTTTCTATTCTATGGAAATGCACAAAATTCTCACAGCCTCATACATAAGAATAAATCATCAAGTAAAAGGCAATCATGTGAAGAGTACTAGACGAAATTCCAAAGGTTGCAGTGCCTCTGTAATGAGTACCACATGTATTACTGCATTCTACGAGCACGCGTTAGAAGAACGTTTCAATTCCGTAGGAAACGTTTTTCTAAACGTTTTGACGTTTTGATTTATATTTTTATAACTATTCCTAAAGTTCTAAAAGTCAACCCAACAATGCTACGTAAACAATTACCAAAATGATCTACTACCAGAAGTTGCATTGAAATAAAAACAACTAAGAAACCAACCAGCAAAGTTGAAAACTATTCAACTTCCAAGTATCACATTTTCGCAAAGAAACCTTGATACCCATTGTAAAACCAACAAGGTAAATAACTTATTCCACTAATAATATTGTGTAGATTACTTGATAAAACCCATGTAAATCAAAGTGGATATCAAAAACTAAACCTTACCATGCGAAAACCTCTTGTTTTGGCAGAGCCATTCCCGACCTATAAAAGAAAACGTGTTTGTGGGATAACTCTACTAAACACTCATCGAGTATGAAGAACCATTTTAAGACAATATAAATGACATTAACCTTGACTAGATCATATGAATTATCGTTTCTATGAAAAAAGGCGTGGATAAAGTATTTATTATATTATAGAAATAAAGCCTTAGTATCGAAGTGACATCTTAGGTTGAATCGTGTCGCAGAATTAAATGGGATGAGGAAGAGATATTGGGGGATATAGGAATATCTTGGGAGGAAAAGGGAGGTGTAGAGCGAAGGACAGTATTGGAGTAGGGAATGAGAAAAAAACTCGACGTGCTCCCTGTCTGGCTTCTCGCAAAGCGAGCCCAAGTTGAATATGAGAACTGCCACTTCAGACTCAAACTTGTAGGTAGGGCAGCCACCATAAAATACATTATGGGAGCCACCACAATTGGCACACGCGCTGTGGAATGGCAGCGTTTGGCAGGATGGCCTAGACGCCGTTAACGGGGGCGACTTTGCTATGGTCGGACAGGGAGGGATTCTCCGCCAATGTGAACATTAAAGGGGAGGTCATGTCTACGGAAAGTAAACTTGGCAATATTGGTGGGGGGCTTACGACGGCCTCCCAGGGGATCATGTAGCATTCTACCGATATTACACCATAGTCCATAAGGCAAGCGAGTAAGTCTTCCCCAGAATCTGATCAATTCTTGTGGTAGACAGTGCATTTTCTCGGAGATGAAGACAGTTCCAATGCAAGTATTGAGAGAAGGCTGAGGCTGAGCTGGAATGGGTTTGCCAGTGAAGTCAGTTAGGGTTGAAAACGCTATAGCTTGGGATTCGGTTGTAACTGTGGCAATGCGGAAACGATCGTTGCAGTTCCTGAAGAAAACTTTACCGACTCGTTCTGGAGGAATTACTGGAATAAGAATGTACTCGGGGTAGGGTTACAAAAAATCGATAGTAAAAGGACGGGGAATTATGGAAGACAGATGGGTATTGTTGAGAAAGGTAATACTGCAGAGTAGTAATGAGGGAGGATGGGGGAGTTGATGAAGAAAGTTGTGAGGGTGGAGATGAACTAGAGAATGCTGGGAGAGAAGGAATTGAGTATTGGCCTGGATGGATGATTTGGACTGGACTAATGTAATATTAGGCACTGAGGAGGGGGTAGTACTGGCAGTGTGCAGAATCGTGGTTAAAGAACCTGGGGTCAGGGGACAGAGAGAATTGAAATCAGTGGAGCTAGATGTTTAAGGGGAACCGTGAACAGGGGAATACCGTGCCCATGGTTTCTCCTAGGCCATACATGACTGACACAAAGTCGGTATTTCGTCCCTTCAACATGGCTCTCACACCTTAGGAAGTTGTAGTAGATGAGGTTGGAGAAAATAAGGAAACAAAAAGGGGAGGGGGAAATGGCAAAATTAGGGTTGAGGTCCAAGGCAGGGGTGATCTCCAGCATTGGTCCGTCTCCGTCTCCTAAGCCCCCCACGGCAACAACGGGCATTGGATGGGTGGGGGGAGAAGGGATAATGGGGAACTCATCCCGTTCCCCCTGCAGATGAAACAAGGGGAGGGGGATGAGGGGTAAAGTGGGAGGAAGGGGTGTGGATGGAACATTAATAGGAGGAGAGTGGATATCGACAGTCACTTTGAGTGTAGAGGGAATGAGAGATTGGAAGATGGATGAGGTGTAAGCATGTTATCTTGGTTCACGATTTAATAGTTTCTGAAGTGGATTTGGTTGGGGAGATATGAGAAACAAAGATTTTCTTATGAGGGGGAGGAGACATAGGTGTCTGAGGAGAAGAGGAGGAAGTTGGTGGAGGAGTGGGTGTGGTAGAAGATGAATTGGAACGTTTAGATTGTCTGCTATGGGTAGAGCGAGGAGGGAGAGGATATGTGGATTCAATGGTAAAAAATGCGGTTACGGGATTTAGAACTGCAAAAGAATATGATTGGGAGAGGAATGGTGTAGAAGTGGAAATGTAAGATAGAGGAGGAATAATTACAAGGCTGATGTAGTAACATCTTGGGAGGAAGGAGGGCTGGAGTGATGGGCAGCATTAGAGTATGAAGTAAGAGAAAAACCTCATTGGCATGCTTCCTGTCCAGTCTCATGTAAAGTGAGGTCAAGTTTGAATCTGAAAGTTGCCACTTCAGACTCAAACTTATGGGTAGGGCAGCCTCTATAAAATGCAGTATGGGAGCCACCACAATTGGCAAATGTGCATGATTGAAAAAAATAATATGCTAGATATCAAAGGTCATATGGCACTAGGGTAAAGTATTGTGGCGAAAAGGGTAAAAATAAGTAAACGATTAGGATAAAAAGCCTTAAATGTAAAAGGTAATAGGATAGGATAGTATGATAGAGAAAATGGTAAAAAAGGGGTGCAAATGAAGTACATCAGAGATAAGTAAAGGAAAGGTTTAAGGGCATAGGACGATTGGATGAAATGGAATGTATCTGTGGCTGGGGAAGCTATAGGAACATAGTCTAAGGAAAACTAGCTGAAGAGCTATTATGAGACAATCAACAGGTAATACGGGTAGAGATGGCTGTTAGAGAAGTAGCAAGAGAAGAATCCGTGAGATGAGGTAAGGGGACTGGAGAAGGTGGCGAAGAAGAGTGTCAGGAGAGAAGAGATCCGGAGAAGGACACTTGTGACAAGAGATTCATGTGAGTATCAAGGAGGGGTAGGCATCGGAGAAGTGGTAGAGACTGGAGGATCTGAACTTAGATTGGAAAAGGAATTTTACTGGAGGAGAGGGGGGTAAGATAGGATGGTTCAGGCTAGAGGGAAGAGATATTGGGAGAGATGCAGAGACATCTTGAGGTGATGGGGTGGAGCAGAACAAAGGACTGTTTTGGAATAAATTGAGAGAAAAAACATTGTCGCCGTCCTTACTCTCTGGATTTACGTAGAGTGAGGCCTGGTTTGATTCTAAAAACTGCTGTAAGAGGCTGTGGAACCTCTTATACTGGAATATACTGGTGGGCAGAGTAATACACTGATGTGGCTGTCATCTTTATTTCTTAAGAGTAACACATATAGATCGAACATGATACAACTCTTGGTACTGGTGGAAGCCCAAGGCAGCATTGGCGAGGGTACAGCCTCATGGGGCTTGAGTGTGTCACAATCAGCGGGAATGTGAGTGACTGAGTGAGAGTTGGGTCCGATATGCGAAGCTGAGGCTTGCCCGGGGTTTGTGGGGAGCCCGGCCTGTGCCAACTAATGTCGACTCGATCAACGTATGTCGGCTAGTGCTGACACGACAGAGCTTAGTCCTTACCCACCGTGGTGCCCAGCCACAGCAGTAACCTCTGGCCGACAATTGCAACTTCTCGCGCGAACCGCCGACCCCTCGGATGAGAGGCCGACACGTTACCAATGTACTAGCTTGGAGTTGGGTCAAGGTCGGGTCAGCTTTTATATCCCTGACACCCAGGCAAAGGCGATGGCGTGGGTGGCGAACACGAGCAAGGTCTATATAAGTACTTATTTAAACCTTGAACACGAGGACCGTATATTTAGAGTCCTTATGGCAAACACGTGCAAACCGGCGTGGTCTGTGAGCTAAATGATGTTATGCAGTATGCTATAACTACTACCTCACTTTCGAGTGGTGTAGCTTTGTACTGATACTGCATCATAGTCCATGAGGCAAGCTAGTAAGTCTTCTCCACAATCTGACAAATCCTGGTCATAGCCAGGGCAGTTTAAAGGGGACATGAAGACAGGGGCAAGTATTGAGGGAGGGTTGAGGCTGGGCTGGAATGGGTTTGACAGTGAAGACAGTGAGGGTTGATAATGCTTTAGCTTGAGATTCGAATGTAACTTTGACAAGGGGTGAATGATCGTGACAGCTACGGATGAAAATCTTGTGTACTTGTTTTATGGGAGGCATAATTGGAAGAGGAATGTTTTGTTAGAGTAAGGGGGTGTAGAGGGGATCACAAAAATCGATCCCATTTGGCTGGGCTAAACAAAGTACTCAAAGTTGTATAGAGGAGGGGGTAGTAAAAGGATGGGGCCTTGTGGAAGGGGAAGTGGCATTGAGTGAAGTAGCACTAAGGGTAGACGGATAATAAGGCTGCAGAGTAATAATAAGGGAGGAGGGGGAGGTAGATTATGAATTAGAAGATACTGGGAGAGGAGGAATGTTTCCTGGAGGTTTAGTAATAACATGGGTGGATGATTTGGACTGGACTTGGGTGATAGTAGAAGTTAAGGGGGTTGTAGTAGTGTCTGTGTCATGGTCAAAGAAGAGCCTAGGGTTAGGGAACCAGTGGAATTCAAATCAATGGGGCTAGTTTATAGAAGAGCAAGCCTCATTGCCCATGATAGGGGTACAAAATCTTCATTACTGACCATGGTAAGCCTGGAGTATGTTTGGGAGAAATAGTCCACAGAGGTGGAGATAGTAGAAGGACAGGGGCGAGAGGAAGATGTGGTGTGGAGTGTTGTAGTTCCGGGGGGGGGGGGGGGACGACAATAATGATGAAGAGTAGTAATAAGGGAGGAGAGAGTAGACACTGTGAAGAGGACTGTACAGTAGGAGATAGAAAGGAGAATGTTGGGAGATAGGAAGGGGTGATTTCTAGATGAGTAATAACCTGGATGGGTGTTTTGGAATGTTTAGAGTTGTTTGTAAGCAACATGGCCATGGCCAATAATGGCCCATGGTGAGCCTGAATAGAATGGGGAAAAGAAACGGTCTACCCCTCAGGGTCCCCATATGAGGTAAGGGTTAGGCATTTAACCATGGGAATACCGTGCCCATGGCTCCTGGAGGCCGTTCATGACTGACACAAAGCCAGCTTTTCATCCTTTCAGCATGGCTCTCACACCTTAGGAATGGGATAGAAGGGGATGAAGAAGTTGAGGTGAGGGCTGAGGCCCAAGGCAGAGGTGATCCCCTACCTTGGGCCTCAGTCTTCGTCTACTAAGCCCTTCCATGACAACAACGAGCAAGGTATTAGGAGGGAATTGATTCCAAAACCTCATAACCTTTATCATCTTTATTGAATATTTCAGGCTTTGGTTGACATAGTATAAGCTATCACATACAATACTTATTCAGTGATTTTCATAGGTTATATAAATCAGACTGAACATTTAGTTCCTTTAAGATCTATTATGACTTGTATAAGTCTTGCTTCAGGTTAACTGAATCAGGGTAAAGAATCTAAAAATGTAAAAATATAAATGTTACTTTACATTATCAATATTGAAAATAATTTCTAAATGAGGGCAATAAATGCACAACCTGTTAAGCAAAATAATCTACAAAAGTGTAAACAATGACAGAGGATAAAAAATGTCTTATTTTAATAACAAAAATGCTATCTCAACTCATGACAATGTTAAAGTATCTAAAATCTGGTTTCAAAACGACTAGAACACAAGATTTGAACCTTCAAAGGAAACAATTTTTGTTATCATAAACAATATATAATATCAACAGTTCAAGTTCATCAGTCTTGCCTTTAATTTTTTTTTCATTTGTTTATTTTCCCATCAAGGGAAGAGATGTCTTATCTTTAAATGTTTCTCAATATCTTCAAGGCTAACAAAAATCTGAATATATGGAACAGTATTATCTACAATAAGTTTCTTTCCTGTTTCCATACTATGAATATAAATGTTTAAATCTGTCATTATAGGATTGGTAGAGTGGTTAAAAAGATATATGTATATTCTACAACAATTTCAATCAGAGATAAAGAAAAATAAAGAAAAAAAACATTAAATTTATAACACTCCTTGACATTGCAGCAAATTAATTTCTTTTTTTTTTTTTCTTTTTATCAGAATGATCTTGTATGCAACATTCCATTTGTATATCTTCTTATTTGTTGCATAATATTTATGGTACATATAGACAATAATCAACCACAAATTGATCAACAAATATTGTAAAACAAGTAACATATATTATCTGATCATAATGGAACACAGCATATAAATCAAGTATATTGCTAGAAGTACAAACTATAAAGGTAACTGATACAAATGCAGTATTTCTTCAGACTGACACATGTCAGTACAATTATCATGGCATTTAATTTCACATCTCCCAGTCCATTCTACGACAGGAAAGTTAATTTTATCATTTTTTCTTCAGCATCCTTTTTCATTCAACTTAAAAAAATCGCATGAAGGTACTTCTTCTCCCTTAAAGAATACAAATATAATATCGTGCATTACCATGCAATGCAATCCTTACCACGACTAGCATTAAAAAACCTTACCGATAAAACCACTGATATGTTGGCAACAAGTGCTGCCAATAATAACCTTACCACCTTTTTCATTTCAAAATTGGAGAGTGAGATAGAGAGAAATTAAAGAATGAAGTCTACCTGCCTTCTAAAGATTCATTCCTCTGCTGATAAGTGCAAGCATCTAATGAATTATTTTGCAATATTCCTATATATCAAAATCACTCATTCCTGGCTTCTCAAGAACAGTAAGTCAAACTAAAACCACTAAAATGTGAAAAAAAAGAAAAAAAGATTGATATATATTATATATATATATACACATACATAGATTTGTGATACATATAATTTCCACAGGAAACCAAATTGTCACTCTAACACTTTGAAAAATTTCAAGGAAAAAGTTGTAATAACCAGCGATGGGGCTCAGCAGTGATGCATCAACCTTGCACGAAGCTAAAGCAGGCGTTCAGATCTGAAACAAAGTAAACTGGTTAATCAAGACACCAGCTGGGAATAAGTGCACTCCTTCTCTGTCACTACCTGGTGTAAGAAAATTGTTCAGGAGTGCATAAAGCATCTATGGGTTATTATTATGATCTAAATGAACATAAAAACCCATCATAGAACCAAGTCTCTCCCTCTAATTATAAAAAACTGTTCATAAATGCAAAGCATGTTTTCTACGCTTCTAGTTGTGTTAGCAGCTGCAATGGTTTGATCTCAAAGTTGCATGCTTAAGATGCTTGAACAGTGCCTTGACTTATTTTCTTTTCCCCGCAAACTGCAAAAAAAGGAATCTTAATACTAGTCAAATTTAAGAAACAAAACTTTGGAATTTGCTTTCCTAAGCACTAAAAGCACAAACTAATACAGCCATTTTTCTTCTTCCTTCTTTTCTTCCTCTAAGTGTGGGTAAATAGTTATAAAAGCAGCAACTACTCATACTAACTCTGCATTAGATAAAACAGTAAAAAAATCAAAACTATACAAAATCTTTAAAAAATAAATAAAAACAAAAGTACTTCATAAAAGTACAAAACTAAAATCATGAATGCCATAACTTACCATTTATCTTGGGTGTAACAAGTTACGTAGCCCTGCGGAGAACAAAAACAAAACAAATCTGAATAATTCACAGAAAATACAACCAAAAGACAGCAGAAAAAAATATACATACTGTGGAAAAACAACAGAAACTGAGATTTCACTATTTTTGTAATACACTATTAGAATTCTAAGAAAAGGAATAATAAAAAAAATCTATTTTTCAAGGTGTCTCAATATGAAAAAAAAAGTTGCAAACTGAAGTAAGCTTTTCTATACTTTCTGTTACCTTTAAGTAGACATCATTTTTACAGTATGTAATAAAATAAACAGGAACTCTTTACTTTAGGAAAGTGTTAAGTTGATTCCCCTTAAATTGTGAACCTTGATATAAAATTCTCAGTTCAGAGAATAATAAAAATGATGATAAAAAGGCAAACAAGACAAAGCAGAGAAGTGAGACACAAGTAATCTGGAGTTGACACATCTGGAAAGTATATATGTGTGCAACTGTCTCCTCTGTCTTACCTAGAGATTCAAAGAGGTTACATTATCTTTCTTGTTTCATAAGTGAGCTCAATTATGAAGGTATGACTTCAGTTTTACTTATACTCTTTATGGAGTGCAGCTCTTAATGATTTTACTTTAGTTCTAAAATCAAAATAATACAATAAGACAAGTATCCTTTTGTACTTCCATTCAAGTTTGTTTTTCTTTTCAGGCATTTTTTTCCTTTTTACAGGAAAGTCAGCTTGATAATAATTTGGTCAATAACTAGAAACTAACAAAGCAGATTACAGTAAATGTATAACATCAGGAAATTGAAAAATACAAATGATCTAGAAAAGAAAAGAAAATTCTGTACTTATTAATAAAAGCATATGTAAAAACCATAGAGAAACTTTCTTATGGTATACCTTTTTTATCATAACCTCTCTTAACCTGTGGCCATTTGAGTATCTATAGACTACAAGATAAACTTCCTTGTACAGAATTTGTTTGCTAGTCCAGAAAACAAAAGTTAGCCATATGTCGATCTGACCTCTTCTTTTCTAAACATATGGAAAATCATTCAAAGCAATTTTAACAATGCACAAGGTATGACATACTGAAGTATACAGTATTACCCTGTCCTTATATGGTTTAAAGATTATGAGTATTTCTGACTCTTTAGAATTTGATAATGAATTATAAAGGCTTACATAAAAGCCTTATCCTGTGCTTTAATTTGATATCTTGATATGTGTGATATCTTTTACATTATGTTGTTGCCAAAAATCTGCAATCCTTAGTCACTTACATTCTCATAATGAAATTTTGAAAATATTCCAAAAGGGCTCACTTGATTACATTATTAAAAAAAAAAAAATACATTTACGACAGTAATAGCTAAAAAAAATGTATACTGGAGAGTTCCATTTAATAGAATAACCAGTCTTCATTTAAGCAATGGTTAGGGATGCTGCTTTATCATTTCAGATATATATGGGAGGTAGATTATTCCTAAATAATCATAAGAGGTTTTACATTTGTTTCCTTTAACTGCATAGCATCAAATTGACCCCGGAAACAATAGTATCAGAATATCAGTGGGAATTTTTTCCTTCATATATAATATAACACACACTACAATGTGTACATACATCATACATCTGTAATTACATAATCTTACTAATATATTCTCATTTCACATAAATGTTAGCTGATGGAAAATTTTCTAAAATCATTATTCAAACCCAAATGAAAAAAAAAAACACTATACCCTTTAGCAATGAGGAATATTTTCTGCAATATTTCAGAAAAATACAGTAAAATAAAAAAGAAAAGAAGAAATTACTTGATAAATCAATTGAATTTCTATTCGCGAATGTGTGTGAACAATAAATATTTCTCCCAATATTGATTTTCATATTTACTGTATATCAAATAAATTTCTAACAAATCCTATTTGACTTATTCTTTGGCAAAGCCTCTTTCCAAAGTTGCTCTTGCTTTTTTGCATTTTCTTTACATTAATAGAAGTATTCTTGTTTCTTTATGGAAACAAAAGTACATGGTACCACATAGTTGAAGCAATTCTTCAATATCACCCAATCATCGGAGCATAATTTAACCTCTTTGATTCAGATGACGTGACCATCGTGTCATGAAAACATTTGGCTTGAGGGGCGGGTGACATGAACATGCCCTCATGGGAAAATCTGGTAGAGGGCACAGTTGATGCATACTTGCTGTCGTAAGCATTTTGGCTGATGGCTAGGGAGATGGGATAGACTTACCATGAGTGCACAAACCTCATGGAGGGCAATTAGACTGTTTACAAAGGGGCCTTTTGCATTATTCTCATCAATGAGAGTGTGGAATGTAGTTTCTGTAGGCCATGACTGGAAGAGTGCCGGCTCCAGGGAGTATGCCATTTCCATGTTTAGCATGCTACTCCTGGCCACCTTGAATGGTGGAGCATGTTATATTGCAGAAAATTGAATATTACCCCCCCAAAAAAAAAGTTATATATTCTTATTTTCCTGCACTGAGTTATTGACTACCTAGAGGGATGATATGGAGTCTGTGCAAGGAAGAGAGTCTATTACCATCTGGATATGATAATTAAATGACAAACATGGACATTGGAAAATGGCAAAAAGGCTAAAAACCCTAATGTATAAAAAGAGAAAATGACATTGCAAAGGGAGGCATAGAATCTTGCCACCACACACAATTGCTGTGCATGCCTGGCTTACAAGCTGCACACCTGTCAAGAGCAGCCAATCACGTAAGCCTAATGCTTGTATTTCAGGCCACATGACTGCCGTGAAGCAACCAGATCCAAGGAGTTAACACAGCAATATTTTCACTCACATGACCTTTATCTGAACGTACGGGTGACCTTTAAAAAGCTTATGAAAACAATAATCATGTCCAATTATTTCCTTTATCAGCAGAAGAAAGCTTAACAAAAAAACAAACAAATTATCACTCAAGCAACAAGCCTTAAATAAATAAACAAAAATAAAAATAATTTCATATTTCAAGGTGAAGGCAGTGGCTGAATTCACATGAGAACATATTGAAAGAATTGTATTGTAACTTGCTATTTTACACCATTATTATTTGCCTATTGAAATACTGGACTATCAACAATATCACCAAACAAAAGCACATATGGGAGATTCCAATGAGATATGTGCCAAATACATGTGGGCTGAACTATAACAAAAATATCCTGCTATGGAAACTGACACAATCACCACTTTCGGAGCTAATGTGTAACTATTCCAAATAGGGGAAGTGTCTGGCACACTAGTATATGGGGAGACTACAGTATTGTGAGCTTGGGAGGAGGAAAACAATAGAAAACAGTTGGCTAGTGAGACATGGGGAAACTAGAGTGATGTTTGGAATTACCAAAAGTGGCAGACCTGAATGTAGCTGCATATTAAAATAAACATCAAGTGCTGCTACATGCTTTTGACAGGTTATGTATGGTGAGCATGCCAGGAGACTGTGCTGCTTGATAGTAACTCAGGTCTGCCAATGGGTGAGTCAAAAAATGATCGCTGGGATTCAACTGCTATGCTGGACTTGCCAAAAATAAAAGCTCAAACAAAATGGCTCTTAGAAAAGCACAGACACCTCATTACCTTCACCAACCTCCCATAATTATCTGTAGAAATCTTAAGCTTCAAACTGGCGCCACTGTTTACTGCAAGGAAATGGTGATTATGCTCCCTTTCAAGAAATATAAGCAACAATTTAAATGTCTTAAAAAAAGGGAAACAAAAACTTTACAGTATCACATACTCAATTCTAAGAGGAAAGTTGCATGTAATATGTAGACTCTCTAGAGTAATGTGGAATCATAATCCAATCAGTTAACATATCTACCTTATGATATTTCAAAGTATGTACATCTAGATCAAATAAATGCAACAAATGTAAATGTAAGAGAAGAAACTTACTTTTTACTCATGTTCTGTAAACAAGCATATTTTGTGTGCACAGAGAACACATTGCCTTTGACCCTTGTTATTCAAAACTAAACATATCCCTCATCCAAACTGAAATACAACCTCCCTTCATGTCAGGGCAAAATTTGTAATGACAGCATATTCTCGGTGCTCTCACAAGATTTGTGAATTACCCAACATTCAGCATTTAGTCCACTAGCCTGTTTTACACAGAAATATCTACAACTTATTTGTTATTTTCCAAACATAATAAAACTACCATTTTCAACAATTAACCTGAAGCTGCTGAGGATGGCATGTATGTATATGCAATGTCCACAGCAAGTTTAATCTCTTAACTGTCTTTACACATAAAAGGCTCCACAAGTATTAAATCACCAATGAACCAAATATATGTACTTTCTGTTTCAACTGTTTACCCTTTTCCTTAGCAATATTTTCTGGAATTCTATGTTGTTACTAATATCAGTAACATGATAATAATTACAATATCTATAATAATAATAACACATTCCATATTGATAAAAAAGGGCATTTGTGGCAAAGCACTTATGGGGCCATCTACGTGCAAAGACTTTTCACAAAATAATATTACAGTGAACTCAACATTTTCCTGGTGATGTGGGATTAAGCTTGTGAAAAATCACATATAACATTTCATTCTCTCTCTCTCTTATACCTGGAGCATTTTCTCATGCATATCTGCATCTAGAAAAAAGTTACATAATTTCACCCTATCAATTTCAGCCTTTTTTCATTTAGCTCTAAACTACATCTGTATCCAAACATCTTAGTGATCCTGCATTCAAATCTTTAAAAAATGTGAAAAAATACTAAATTTCTTTAAGGGGATCATTTCCTTTTTTCTTTTTTTTTCTTGCCAATTTTGATGACAATTTTGATGAAACTCACACCCTAACCTAAGGTTTGCCTTTTCAAAATAGTTTGTGCATATATCAAACTAACTATATATGATGACAACATAAAGAAAAGAAAATACTCCATATGAATATATCTAATCATTACATCTCAATTGCTGATTTTCTAAGGTAAAGTGAAAAAAAATAATATTTCGGTCAACACTGAAAAGGGCTGTTACCACATAAAAAATAATGGTTGGGCCTTGAAATTTTCAGGGGAGAATCGGAGGCCCTGAAACTCCTTGAAAATGCATTCAACGATTTAGGCAAGAAGGCTGATTTTGGCAAAAAAATTGGGAGACGATCCCCTTAAGAGAGAAAACTCTTTAAAAACACAAATGGAAAGAAAAATATACTTTGGGATTCCCAGGCAAAAATCTGAGAAAGAATTCCTGGTATGACTTGAAGAACTGTCAAATAAACTACTTTTCTGTACTTTAAATTCAAAATAATTACTGAAGAAGAAGAAGAAGAAGAAATAAAAATATGAAGAAAAAGAAGACGGAGAAGGATGGGTAAAACCGAAATAAGAAAATACATAAGAAGGAAAAAAAAGTAACTGCTGAGCTTGAATGTAAAATAGCAGAGAAATAGAGTAAGAGTAAAAGTGTCAGAAGCAATAAGAAAGATAAAGTGGGAATGGGTATGACAGAGTATAAAATTAAGTCTGTGAGACAGACAGTAACAATGAGCATGATAAAAAGTGGGAGAGACAAAGACAAAGAAAGAGAATACGTGTAAGAGTGAGAGTAAGAGTACGAGACATTATGTGTGAGAGTTTGAATCAGAATGACAGAAAAAAGTCAGTGATAGTGAGAGTAAATGAGAATTAGTGTAAGTTCTAAAAATGAATATATGCTCTCTTACTTTTTCTTAGTTTTGGGTGATGTTGACTGGAATACTGAAGAGGCTGACATGAGATTTTCTATGTACTGTCCCAAGACCTGGTTTTCCGACCGCAGTTTCAGATTCTCCTCCTTAACACTATCCACTCGCTGGGAGAGATCTGAAAGATGGTTTCCTTAGCTAGCATATATAATGTAGATATTTCAGGAGGTTATCAATCTATAATAACCATTTATTAAATGAAACACTGAATCAATGATGACAATTATCATTATGCACTATCAATTCTAACTGGAAAATTTCAGCTAAAAGGCTTAATCCAAAAATATTTCATTAAATTAATAAATAATAAATTAATAAAAGTTATTGTCTCTTACATGAGCAAAGTAAGAAGAAACCCGTACCAAATTTTCAAATAGGGCCCCCATACAAAGAATTACATTTAACAATTTGGAAATACAACAACAAAAGTAGAGGTGCCACCGTTTGGAGATTTTGACTAGAGAGGGCCTTCTTTCTAACTCTTACAAAGTGGATAATCAGGGTACCTCTTGTTGTCTAAACCCTTTCCAATGAAGGCCAAGGAATTTGGTAGCTACAGCCTTGTTTCCTTAAGGACTCTCATATATAATTGTTATATTTCTCAATAGTTGCTTTTACTACAAAAGAGGGTGAGGAAGGGGAAGAGGTAACACAACAGCAACAAAAAAATATAATCTATGCTTGGAAGGATGATTAAGATCATGTAGGTTCATGAATTTAAATCAATTAATGAGACTTCTATGATGTCCCATAAACTGCTACTTTATTTTCATGCAGAGATTTCAAGTTCTCATCCTTCCTTTGAAGACTTTACAAGTACTTTGCCCATTATTTTCTGAAATGAATCTATATCCTAATAGCATTTTTCACACAGCCTGAGACAGCTCATCGCTCTACTTACCATCAAGTGTGTTCTGCAGCTCCAGAACCTGTGATATGAGTCGTGCTTTCTCTTCCTGTTCATCTGGTGACATGTCTGGCTCTAAACCTGAAAATATTATTTCTCTGATGCTACGTAATATACTTTATCAAATATGACCCTCATGTTTAAATATGGTGAATAATTCAGTAAATGGTTTTCCCTCAGTGTGTGACATATAAATTAGCTCTTAAAACTGATAGATGTAACTATTGTATCGCCTGAAATCAAAGTATATGCCTTTCAATATTCATGGTACTGAGAACAAGAAAAGTAATATTATAAAATTGCTACTATTATTAGGGCTATTTGATTACCAGTTATAATATTAACACTAATACTAACAATGATACCAAGCAAAAAATTAAAAAATAAAAATAATGATAACGATAAAAAAACGTCTGATATCAAGGAACTTAGAGAGAAAATTGTTATTGTATACATAATGTATACAACAAACAACCCCATGACTATTACCAAGAAGCCCAGATTAAAGAACTATGTATTTTACTCCAAAACAAAAGTAAAGGAACATACTATTGTGCAGGGGACTGTTGGACCCATTGGTATAGGCTGAAGGGATTGACTCTAGGCTCTGGCCACGGGTCGAGTCTGAAATCTCTGATGCTGCAGTGCGGTCATCATCCAGTACCACTGTCAAAGGCACACATAACAGTCTTACAATGATTTATCAAAAACTTCAAGTATTGGCTAGTATCTTTGATTCTTATTATATGAGGTATTGGCATCAGGCCATATGTATGTATTCAAATATATTATACCTTTAAATAGATTGATTTCAAATTATATCAATATCACCAGGCTGGTATGATGATATCTGTAATTCTAGTGTACCTATATGCATAACCCATTACAAACTTTCAAAGAATTCAATTACACTTACATTACTGTTTTTATTATAATGGTTAAACTACATAAAATATACCTCCACTTCAATACATCTAAATACTACCAAGCATCTTTCAACTACCTGATGGGTCATCATCCACCAGAGGTATGCTGTTGTCATCCTGGTAACTTGAAATGCTGCTCATCTTGCTCTGAAACAAAAAGGCATTTTTAGTAACCATGCATGAGGTATAAAAACAATCTATTACTACAAGTCCATATGTTTTCAAACAGATTACAGTAGGTAAAGTGGGCTGCTACCTTGTGATATAAGCAAAGAAGTTTAGTGGTTGCACAACTACTAATGATAAGTAGTTTATATTCCCATTTTGCAAAATAACGACAAAATAAATTCATTCAAAAAATCAAATAATAAGAGGACAAACCTTGGTTCTAATACCTAAAAAAAATATTCAGGTAGCACACACTCTATTTCAGGCAATACTACTAAAAGACAGCCAGGCTTTCTTCAATAACAAATCATGACTGACTGTACTGATGTACTGTACAGAAAACTCTGAGTGATACCCTATATCAGGTGGTGTGTGGAAAGTACTGTATACTGATAAATCTTCATCTCAACTTCTCTTATGCAGATAAATGTCAATTACACTATACATTACAAGGTGTCCCATTTGCAACTAATATGCGAAGGGGGTGGGGTGAATCATAAATAGGATGCATTGATATCTTATATTAAGCAAGGTCACACAGGCCATGTAATTGAATTCTTGAGTGACTAGGCATTTTTGGAACCATCTAATTTTAAGAAAAAAAGAAAAAAAAGAAGAAAAAGAAGAAGAAGAAGAAGAAAAAACAGTGGATGGTGCAGGTATACATGCACTCCCATCATAACAGATTAAGATGTTAGCATATTGAATACGATCAGCTTATCATACAGTAGTGACTAAAGGGAAGCTTTAGAAAGTTCATTGATTGTTTCTTTAATCTTTTTATATGCTTGTAATAAACCTCTTGGGTTTTACATTAACCTTTCCTGCTCCATTAGCCACTAAAGTCCACTTAACCACATTTTGAGCATGATCCTACATTAATCTTTATGGCAAGGAGGCACTTAGGAAGGCGAAATTGAAGGCGATATTCTTGTAGAGGACAAATATCACCACAAATAAAGTAAAAAGATTGTGGAAAGTACTGATCTCAGCCTAAGTCCGCTAGATCCTCACAAGTTTCAGCTCTAGCTTGCCATTTATATGAGGTGAAGACAATGTTTCCCGGGGAGTGTTGGGGCAGAGCCTCCCTTTCAACCCTCCCCTGGGGTTGTGCCCAGAGGGCACACCTAATCACAGCAATTTAGATTGTTGAATAAAGTCTGTGATGAGGAGTTGGGGACTTAGTCTTTGATGAGTGCATCAGTACTGTAAAGAATTACTTAATATTATTTGCCACTTCTGAGCCTTCAAAACTGGCTGCTTGTTTCCATGTATCTTTTGCTGCTGCGAACGAGATCTGTGTAGAGGCAACTAGTACGACTGACACTGCCTGGCAAGCTACCTACAACCACACCCACCACACCATACTCATACCCCCTGTAGCCCCTCCACTTCCTGAGTCCCTCCAGTTCCTCTCTCTCTTGTGCCTAGGATGTAATGTATGTAAATATATCAATTCTGATACTGCATGTCAAATTCCATTCAACCAAACCTCCTATACTTTCCTCTGCATATGATATTCATCATCATCATCAAGGACCTATTACAAAAGGCATCAAGATGGGACTCCAAGGCACAAGATAATGTGCAGGTTTCACTACCATATAGCAAAACTGGCATTATCAGGGCCTTGAAAACACGTAGCTTGGTCCTTCTGCGAAAGTACCGGCATCTCAAAATACTCTTGTCAAGAGAGTTCATGACCCCTGCTGCCAGGCCAATCACAAAGGCACTCTACAATGACTCAAAGCGCAAGGATACAATCCAGATTGCTCGGGCCTTTAGTGTCTCAGTAGGTGGTCTCTGATGCGTCTCAGAAGGATGTGAGTGAGAACCTTGCCTGGTATACTGAGCAGTGTAATGCCTCGGTGATTACTGCTGTCCCTTCGGTCCCCCTTCCAGAGAGGGATGACCACACCCCTCAACAGGGCAGGAGGAATTGTAACGGACCGGAAGATGGCAGCCAGGACAGCATGCGACCCTTGCACCATAGGTTCACCACCAGCCTTTTAACAGTTCAGCTGGTACACCACTGATACCTACTGCTTTACCACTCTTCACCTTGGAGATTACCCCCATAACTTCAGTTAGGGAGGGTGGATCCTCACTGATGGATGGGTTTGGCAATGGAATCTCAACATTCCCCACATCCAA